GTCATTAGTAGAGTTTTGGTACAATGACTTTCAGGTTCTAGGTATTTAATTCCGCATTTGTTTAGTTAATTAACTTGCTTCCGTAACTTAATTGCCTTAGTTTTGGTTTAGTTGCTTAGTTTGGGTTGTAGTAGTGGTTCTCCCACCGGATGACGTGGGTGTCAATCATGACGGTCTGGGTCGTGACAAAATACTTCTTTCCAATTATACCCTTGAATTATTATGGAATTTTCTATTTCATGTAATTAGGTCAGGGTAGATAATTGCCGGACAGTATTATTTTTTATGGCCTTATAGCTAGGAGAAGAACAATTTTGTTGTCTTAATAACGAAAAAAACGGTAAACAATAGTAAAATCAAATAAACCATTTACATTTACACATAAAAATTACAAGTTATAGTTTTAATATGTATGCAATTTTATAAATTGTTCAAAATACAAATAATTAGAAAACTCTCTCTCTTATATATATATATATATATATATATTTATATAAACAAATAATACATTCAATTAAGATTACAAACGTCATGTAGTAATATATTTGCCTTTTCAATTAGTAAATGTTAAACAACTTACATTTCAAATATTGTATTAATTTGTATTGGATTTATTTAGCAACAAACAACTCTATCTAAATAATAAAATTTGTTAGCTAATTTATTTAAATAAATCTACTAATACAAATATAAAATATAAAATCAAGAAAATAAATAAAATGATGAAAAAGATTTGAGGGTACTTTTGTCTTTACATAGATAACCCCATGGTATTAAATCATATGTATAACTAACTAAGAAGACATTGTAGGTTAAACAAAGTGAATTTATCAATCCACCCTTGCCAATCCCCTCTAATTACCAAAAAAAAAAAGAACTTCAAAAAGCAGTAGTTATGACAAATATATTTGGCTATAATACATATGATGATCTTGGAGTTAATATCTTAAAATGTCATTGAAGTATAAAAAATTATCTAGTAAAGTCACTTAACTTTGTTTTGTATCAAAAAAATCACTCAACTTAACATTTATCTTCAAAAATCATTTAGCAACAACATTTATCATTAAAATAAATTTCATATGACAAATCAAATCACCTTTTCATGTCATGTAATCATGAACCCCAAACAAACAAAATTATAAAGTTTATTTAGTTTTATGCCATGTAATTATGCCTTTTCCTCTTCTTAATTATTGACACAAGTCTTTTTTTGCAAACGCCTTTTTACTAGTCCATTACAGGCGACAAAAAGCTCAATTTCGATATTATGGAGAATATCAATTCATGTAAGGAACATTGTTCAACAAGATTACTATTAAACCCAATTAGACAAAGAACAACTCCAAAAAGATTTCATTTGTTAAACTATTGAAAATTACATTCAATTGGATCTATTGTTTCACCTAACAGTAGTCTCTTCTATCCGATTTTCACAAATAGGCTATGAATAATGTGTTTTTTCTATTTTTTCTAATGTACAAACTGATTTATTATGTAACTCAATTCTTTTTATTATCTGTAATAGTTCAGAAAAAAATGACAACTTATTTAGCAAAATAAAATAAAATAAAAAAGCATGCCAATAAGAAGGAGAAAAAGCATAATTACATGGCGTATATAATTGGAAAAATTGTATATAATAGCAAACTATTTGTCACGCCCCAAACTCGAGGGGCACAACTGGCTCCTAATGCCAAAACTCAGGCCCGAGCCGACCTTGCTGAACCATTTGCTACTAACGCATGGCAGCCACACACAATCAAGAAAACAAACAAGTATATCTCAGCTTAAAACTAAGCCCTCGGCCGGCAAGGCCCCTGTCAACTGATCTATAAAAGAAACAGCTACTCCCAGGAGATCATAAAAATAAATTGCCAACTAGCACAGAAGTCCTGATTGGGCCGTCGAGGCCACCATGATATCTATACAAAAACTAAAAGCAGGTATATATTAATACAATACATCAAACAACTCACAAGCTTCAGCAAACCAACAACATAGACCAGTATGGCCATAATGTAGTTATACACCCCACACACTAGTCTGCAAGCCTTTAAGAGTAGTAAAGATTAGCGGGATAGGGCCCCAGCCTACCCATAAAGATATATACAACAAAAGGTAACAAACCTCCCAACTCTGGCAGTTTCGGAGGAAAGGGGCTAGCCAACCAGATAAAAGTCAATCCTGCTGCTGAGGAGGTCTACTCGGTCGTCTGTCAGGACCTGTATACATGAATGTAGCGCCCCCAAGGCAATGGGACGTCAGTACAAAATAATGTACAGAGTATGAAAGGCAATAGACTATGAGGAGGTATCCTGATATACTGGAATAATCTGATAAATAAATCAAGGATAAGATAAGTGTACTGACCTGCTCCTAAATCTAAACTTATCAAAAATAATAAAACAACAACCTACCCAAGCCCCCATAAGCTCAGCAGGTACAAACAGCACACAAGACTACCTACTCAGGCCCCCATAAGCCCGGAAAGTGTCAATCAGCCTATATACCCCTATCGGTAGTCCCCTAGTCCCGTAGGCAGTCACATAACCCTCTTAGGCATTACTATAGCCCCGTAGACAGCACATAGCTCTCTTAGGCATCAACATAGCTTATAGACAACTCATAGCCCTCTTAGACAACAACATGACCCTGTAGGAAGCACATAACATTCTTAGGCGTCAATATAGCCCTGTAGGCAACTCATAACCCTTCTAGGCATCAATATAACCCCGTAGACAACTCATAACCCTTTTAGGCATCCATATAACCCTATAGGCTGAACATAGCCCTTCTAGACATAGATTACATTCCTGCAGCTAGCAACAATAGCCCCAAGGGCAACAATAACAATCCAATCGCTAAAAGCGAGCAATTTAGTTATAAGCAACCTATATAAATAGCCTCTAAGTCGTGTCCAATATGGGGACACTACTAACTGAATAAGAATCCCGATAAGGGAGGATTATATCAACTCGAGCAGCCAACAATCAACGATAATGGCTACAAGTGTAACAAGGATAACAACCCAATTATATTGCTCCTAAGCTTAAGGAAACATTCGTAAATGGGGAATAGCCTTAACTTACCTTTCCAATGAATGCTTGAAAGACCGTAGTTCCTTCACAAAAGTTGTTCCTTATGTTCTAAGCTTCGCAAACACTATATATACACAACTGGTATGCACCTATAAACAGTTCATAATTAATCTTAAATCGGCAGATTTGCCATATTGCCCCAACTTGTCGAAACGTCCGTAGAAATTCATAAAAACAACCATGGGTCCTGAAATGATTACCTTAGTTAACCAAGTGTAAACCTTGAAGAAACACCAATAACTACAAATTTATATCTTCAAAAACCAGCTCCAAACGCAGCTAATAGAAGGGAAAAATGATTGTCACGTGTAGGGATTACGTTTCTAGGCACGGGGGCAATGTTTAATGGTAGAAATCGTCAAAAACTAATCTTCAGAATGCTAGAACTCCATAGGAACTCTCTCTTAAGCTTTCTCTCTGGTTTGGAACTGAAATGGAATGTTTTCATGGCTTAAAACGTTAAATAAGTCGACATACCATATTTTTGACCCGACCCGGATTCTACCCCGACAGTCCCTAGTAAAACCCTTATAACTTTTTGTTCTGATGTCGGTTTGATACGGGATTTTGTGCATTGCAAACTAGACTCGTATGCCTTAGATTTAATGGGTGATAGGCCTTCTAACTCTTTATATATCGGGAGAAAACATCCAAGACATTTGACCCAAGTTTTAGACAAATCTTTAAAAAGGAACTTACGATAACTTTCGCCAACTTTTATTTTGCCACTTACTTAACTTCAAAACTTGAGATACAACCCTTGAACACTTAAAATATGACATACCACATCATTTTTAATTTATTACTTAATTTATTACTTTGTTTTTCCACGAAGATACGAGTTAATTTAGACGTTTTGAAAAGTCGAGGTGTTACACTATTAATTCAAATTTAATGTTATAACCACAGTTTGATTAATTGTACCCTGTATCAAATTGTTGCCATTCGTCTCTCTCCCTGAAATTCTCGCTCGCCACTCTCCCTCTCTCGCTCGCTAGTCTCTCCCTCGCCTCTCTCGCTTTATACAAACACAAATATATAAATTGTGTTTCTGTTTGCATAAAGCGAGAGAAAATTGTATATACACGTGCAAATACATATATCTTCGTCCTATACACTTATAATTATACAATACAAATATTTCCCTACCCAACTCTCTTTTGCTTTTCTCTCTTTTTCGCTTTATACAAACACATATTATACAAAATACAATGTATAATCTATGTTTGTATAAAGCGAGAGAGAGAGAGATTTGATAAACAAACGTTTTATTTCGATTTAGTTGTATACAAATTCAAATTTTATGCAGATATACAAACACATAAAATTGAATTGAGAGGCTGCCAACGATATATATAAACGAGAGGCTGGCAACGATTTATACAATGGTCTGCCGGCGAAATTATTCAAATCTGAAGAGGAGCCAACGAGTTATACAATCTGATGCTCCATAACAAACATAAAGTTTGGTATGAAACACAATTATACAAACTATAGTTATAGCATAGGAATATGATTTTTATGTTTGCTATATGTGAAAGTTGCTCTATATAATTTTATTTATTTGTGGATACATGATTGCATGACACTAAAATAAAAAAAATTATAATTTTATTTACTTATGAAATTCATGATTACATGACATAAAAAATAATTTAATTTGTTATATCAAATTTATTTTAATAATAAATGTAATTAAATGATTTTTGAAGATAAAAATATTAAGTTAAGTGACTTTATTGATACAAAACGGACATTAATATATTAATATTAATAGTAAATAGGGAAACGGGTCGGGTATGCCCTAACACATTAACTCCGCACAAATAAAGCAAACCTAAAGAGAAAGAGAGTAGTAATTTGTAGGTCTTGTTTCTTCTTCACGACTCACATACATACATCTCCAAAGCTTTTTCAGATTCTTACCAACTATGCCTCCAAAATCAGCGAGAAAGACACCTACAGGTTCTGGATCCAAAAGAGGTGGCCGTACATCTCGTGCCACGCCAAAGTCTCTTGAGGAACCAATGGAAGAAGAGAGTAAGGATAACGCGGTGGAGCTCAAACAAGAATTCAAAGTCCCTGAAGAAAAGCCGGAGCCTGAGCAACCGTTGAATGCCAAAGCTGTACAGAACAAGATGCTCAGTTCAGACAAGAGTGAGTATTGATGGAATTTGTGCAACTTATTTGAATTAATATCCCTATTATATATCTGCTTCTGCAGCTCTGTTTTATGCTTGTTGACAATTTTTTTGCAAATTGTAATAATTTAGCTTAATAAAGAGTTTGTCAAGAAAAAGAATTATGGGTCTAAATTGAATAATATTATCTCAAAAGAAGGTGATTACGGGAGGATAGTTTTAATAAGGTCTAGGTTGGAGGGTTAGCTGTGACCATCACTTAAATCTTATGGCAGAAAATTGTAAAGTGAGGCGTCTCCAAGTCCAAGAGGATGTTTGAGGTGTATGAGTTACATCGAGGCATTCATGAGTTGGTTCCAAGACCCACCTTTGTGGGACAAACCCTGAAATAATGAAAAAAGGTGAGGCTTTTGCTGGGAACTGGGATGGATGAAAGGTTCCCTTATTCTACAATAAGGAAGGGAAGGAAAGATTACAGTATTGTCAAATCGTGTAACTTTAATCTTTTTTCCTGAGGAGTTTCCATATGTGGTTCTTTTTAAATTTTTCTATGGCATCTTTTGATGATCAGTTATGTCTCTATAGAGTTGGATATTGTTGACAGCTTATAGGACTTGCAAGAAAATTATGTTTGGATACGAGGCTCTTATTTTCTCCATCTACTGGCTTGGGAGGCTGATTTTTTTTTCCTTGTGGCAGAGGTGGATGATGTGAAAGAATCAGTCGATCAATATGAAAAGGGTGAGCGATTAGATTTGGAGGATAATGACCCTGAATATGACCCTGAAGAGTATGGCACTGTTGATTATGATGAGAGAGGAATTGAAAATGATGATATTCAGGAAGAGGGAGATGAAATAGAGGAAGAACCTGAAGAGGTAGATGTTGATGAAGAGGAAGAGGGTGATATGGTGGAAGAGGATGTTGAAGATGTTCATGAGGAAATTGAGGGCGATGAAGAAAATGAGCATGCTGGGGAGGAGCATGCTGAGATGGTTCATGCCGCTGAGGAGGAAGAACATCATGAAGTTGTTAAAGAAAGGCGTAAGCGGAAGGAAATTGAAATATTTGTTGGTGGTTTGGACAAGGATGCTACTGAGGATGATCTCAGGAAGGTCTTCAGTAAAGTTGGCGAGGTTACTGAAGTGAGGCTTATGATGAATTCTCATACAAAGAAGAATAAGGGATTTGCATTCCTGCGATTTGCCACTGTAGAACAAGCAAAACGAGCTTGTACTGAGCTGAAAAATCCAGTGGTATTTTCTTTATTTTATAGTTTTATGTGACTGATTTTAATTCCTCATAGAAGGTATTTCCTGACAATGGAATTTTCAGATCAATGGAAAACAGTGTGGTGTCTCTCCAAGTCAAGACAATGATACTCTGTTTTTGGGTAACATATGCAAGACCTGGACAAAAGAAGCTGTAAGTAGGCTAGGCATATCATATTGTCAACAAACATGATTCTCAGTTTTGAGGAGCTGCTTAACGAGTCATTGATGTTTGCTTTCTCTCCCAGTTAAAAGAGAAGCTGAAGCATTATGGTGTTGACAATATTGAGGATTTGACGTTGGTCGAAGACACTAATAATGAGGGAATGAATCGAGGATTTGCTTTCTTGGAGTTCTCTTCACGTTCAGAGGCCATGGATGCTTTTAAGCGGTTACAAAAGAGAGATGTTATGTTTGGTGTTGATAGGCCCGCAAAGGTTTCTTTTGAGGATTCATTCATTGATCCTGGGGATGAAATCATGTCACAGGTAAACTCTCTGGACATATATCTAAATTTTAATAGAAGGAACAATGACCGGTCAAGTATAGTTAGTATATTGTCAAATGGAGGCTTTTGTTGTTGTGATTCTTAGCTTATTTTGGAGGTACACAACTTTTAAGAGTTATATTATGTTTTTGAACATACTTTGTCGTTCTATGGTTTGCTTTTTATCCCTTCTCTTTTAGTCTCTTCTGCTGCGAAGAAAGAAGAATGAATGAGGACGCTCTGTAGTTTAATTTTTCCTTTCTACAATAAATTAGATTTATAGCTAGGTGCTTGCTGTTCAAGTTTGGCCTTTCCCCCATTTCATTAATTTTTGAGCTGGGTAGTTTGGTTATCTTCTTTCCTTGTTAGTTCTTTTCCGATGACATTGCTGCTTACTTTTTGAGTCTTCTTGAGTCAATTGCTGCATATCAATTGTTATCCGACTGTGGGTGAATTTTTTTATTTTTTATTGATAAATCAAGATATGACTGTGAGTGAATATCTCTTGAGTTCAGGTCAAAACAGTGTTTGTTGATGGCCTTTCTGCATCCTGGGACGAGGATCATGTGCGGGAGTTTCTTAAAGAATATGGGAAGACTGAAAAAGTTGAGCTTGCCAGAAATATGCCTTCAGCCAAGAGAAAGGACTTCGGATTTGTCACCTTCGACACCCATGAGGCTGCAGTTACTTGTGCTAAAAGTATTAATAATGAGGAATTGGGTGAAGGAGATAACAAGGTTTGTTTTCTGTCTTAAAGTATCCCTGAATATATGTAACTCTTGCGAGTGGTTTCTTGAAGTTGTATATTTCAGGTTAAAGTTAGGGCCAGATTATCAAGACCCCTTGAGAGGGGCAGAGGGAAATATGGTGGACGAGGAGATTTGCGACCTTGGCGTATGTCCATGCATGGTCCCCGTGCCCCTTGGGGTCGTATAGTGCCACATAGTCATGCTATTCGAGGGACTAGAGTTAGTACACGCATGCCTCCTGTAGTTGGTCGTGGTTTCAAACGACCTGCAGGATCGAGAGATAGACGGGCAGTGATGGATTTGCCTCCTAGGGGAAGACCCACAGCTCCACCATCTAGCAGGTCATATGACCGAAGACCACCTGGTATGAGATGATTTCCGTCTTTCGTCAAAATCTGCTGGTTGAACTCTGCTAACTTTATGAACGACCAAATAACTAATGAGTGAATTGCAGTTCCCTCATATCCAAAGAGTAGCTTGAAGAGGGAGTATGGACGGCGCGAGGAAATCCCTCCTCCCAGAAGTAGAGCAGTAGCTGAGTATCCTTCGAGGGTTCATTCTGACAGACGTGCATCCTATAGGGATGAGTATTCTTCCCGTGGCTCTGGTTACCCTGAATTGCCTAGAGGTACTCACTCTGCAGCAAGGAGAGCTTATGTTGATGATGGATATGGGCAACGGTTTGAAAGGCCCCCTCCATCTTACCGCGAGGGACGTGATCGTGAATATGACTCTGCGTCTGGTTCAAAACGTCCATACACTGCAGTGGTAAGTTATCTTCACCATAAACTCCATTTAAGATATTTTTCTGATCTGCACAAGAAGATACAAACTCATTTATCATCTTCCATACATGCCAGGATGATGTTCATCCCCGCTATGCTGAGGCAGGAGTGCGGCATTCTCGTGCTCGTTTGGATTACGAACTAGGCAGTGGACGTGGCTCCCATTATGGAGATGCATATGGTGACAGGTGCCTTATAATTATTGTTAATTCATTTTTCTTCATGTTTTGCAATCATTGGTACTATATTGACGTCCTTATTTACATATTAGTAGACTTGGGAGATCAAATCTTGGATATGGTGGCAGTAGGGGCTCCCTTTCAGGTCAAGATTCTCATGGGATGTATAGCAGTCGTCAGGATATGGGTTATGGTGGAGGTGTGTTCTTTTGTTCATTGTAAAATCTGGTTATTTTTCTTAACATTTGTTATTACATGTATGTTTAGAGAAAGCTGTCTTGATTTTTATTTTGGCTTGCAGGATCCTATGGTGGAAGTGATGTAGGTGGAATGTATTCATCCAGCTATGGTAGTGATTACATGTCTCGTGGCAGCGATGTATGCTTCTACTCCGTTGATTTCTGCGGAGGCTTTAGTGTTTATCTGATGATAACTGTGGTTCCTGTTCTTCTCTGATGAATTTTCAGGTTGACTCGGTTTATACTAGTCATGGTTTGGGTGGCAGTGGTTATACGGGAAGTGGTGGTTCTGGATCATACTACTAATAAGGTATGTCTCTTATTATTAGCAACCATGTGTTTCTTTTGGTAGTCATGCCCTCAGAACTGAGTATCCTATATGCTCTCGTGCCCACCTGCCTCCTCCTCCCTCTTCTGTGGGATGAAGCCGGGAAGATTTTTCTTACTTTTTTCTCTGTAAGAGCTGTACTTGAAGATATGGAGCATGTGGTTACCCACCAACTTATTTATGGTACAGATTTGAGTTGACAAAAGAGCCTGCAGTTGGATCTGTTAATATGGAAGCCCTATGCATTGACATGCCTCTTGGAGAGATGGAGTTCATCTATTATCTGTTGCCTCTGTGTATGTGGGGCTAGAGAATTTTGCATTGGAGAGGCTGTATTTCTGTGAAGCATCTTGGATTTTGATTGGGAAACAAGACACCTGTTCCTTTTCTGATGTAAGGAAATTTGAGCTATATAGAGCAAACAGAGATCTATTTATTTCTGGTGTCTGCACATGCACTATTTTCTAGTGGTTTCTTCTTTTAAGAATTTTCTGGAGAAGTGGAGGAAGTATGCTCCATGATTATTTGAAAGAAAATGATGCCAAAAGCTCAACTTACCAGTTTTCTAGTTGTAATTCTTAGGATATACTACAATGAAGGATCCATGGGAGTTTTATATGGACGCTTTATATCTAGTTCTATTTGATATTATTGTCATAAAGTTACTGCTGGACCAATATCACAGGACTCAAAGGATCACAAGTAAAGAGCTTAATTTTGTTATTGAAAGTGTACATTTTTACTAAGTTAATGCGTCGACCTGCATTCCGAATTGTCATCTATTTGCTTACGGATGGTGAGTAATTAAGGGTTAGATGAATGCATTTTGATGGCTTGAGAAAGAAAGCACTCATGAACCAGTGTTATCTAAAGCGGAAAACGCAAAAAAGCTCCAAGGTTTGTTGGGGGCTTTGAGCGCGAAGCGAAAATAAAGCGTGGGCTTTATTGAGAAAAGGTGTAAATGGAGAAAACATACAAATATATATATATATATATTTAGTCCAAGACTAATAATTATAAGCATGAATGAATAACAAATATATGGACAAAGTAATTGATTGTTTTTATGATAAAGTGAAATCTCAATGGTTCAGCATCACCTCTTCAGGAAATTCTCATCACAAGGAAAAGTATGTCTTAGAGCCTTGATGACGATACTGAAGCGCATGTTAAGCGAGGTGAAGCACGTAATGCATTTTGAGCCTCGCTTTAGGGCTTAAGCACGCCTTTGATAACACTGTCATGAACTCCATGGGCCGAAGTTACTCATTACCTAATTTTTATTGTTGAGCAGTGAAGTTGGATTGTTATAATTGCGCCTGAAATTGGTTTAGATGAGGGAATATGAATGTAGTTTGCTGCTACGGTCTGTGGATTGGCAAATAAATTTTTTAGCATTGAATAGAAAATTGTGCTTAATTCGTTGCAGCTTGTGAGCTAATTCTGCCTTGTGTGTAGCCTGATCTTTCATTGCTTTCATTTGGTTGCATCATGAGTATCATGCCTTCTCTACTAGCTTTTTGGTAGTTTGCTTGCACAAACTCGGTTTTTGTTTTTCTGACAGCTTAAACTGCAGAGGAATTTTGAGAGAACTTGATAGTGCATAACCGTTGATCTATCTTAAAAGCATGAGGATGAACACAATTTGAAGATTTGCACTTTGGTAGTATTTGTTTTCTTCCATTATTTGATAATACACTCTATTTGAAAGCTTGTTCCTTGGAATTAGTGTGCTAATCTTGTGATTTTCTGGGGATGAGCGAATACTGATTTGTTAATACAGTGGGAGTCTATGAAGTTGGGGAAATTACCTATAGGGAGGCATTTCATGTGCTTATGTCAGTCTCTGGCAGCTTGCCCCAACTAGAACTATATTACATGAAGTAATATAAACAGTTTTTGTCATATTCCCTGTACATAGACCATGTCCCTTGAATAGACTTTAGTTCATGTTATGATTGCCTTTAAAATGTGTGCTATACATGCTTGTGGGACGGATACTTGTAGGCTATGTTGTTCGGACTTTTTAAAAATGATGCCTCACCCCTATTAGATTCTTCAAAATTACACTAGTTTTGGAGAATTCGACACACCCGTCGACCTTTTTGAAGAGTCTGAGTATCATAGCTTGTAGGTAGGTAGTTTCCTCTCATAGTAACAATAATTTTTCTTTTCCATAATGGGGGTTGTGCACTAAGGTTACTCCACCATTTACTTACTACCTTAACCAGAATAATCAGAATTGGTAACAGGTAACGCCGCCCACCTAATGTTTTTGGGTCATCGACGAGATTTGAACCACTCCATTGACCATTAAGTTTCACTTTTGGTTGCTCTCTTTAATTATTATTGATTATTTAAGATTTTGAGGGAATGTTCCTTCAGTTGCAAAAGTTGCAGTGTCATGTGAGCATTGAGTTTGAGTTTGACACATACATGCTTCAGGTGGATTGCAGATATTTTGCTGTTTCATTGTCATGTTTATTTCATAGATTAGATAGTTTTAAATTTGTATAAATTATAGTAATAACATTTGACTTGGATCATTGTTGAAAACAATATTGGTGTAAATTCTCTTGTTGGTATATAGTGTGGTTGGTGCAACTTGGATCAGACTCTTTAGCGCAACCAGCTGTGATGTGTAGTAAAATTTGATCAGTAATGCACCCAAATATTCTATGGTTGCCTTTTCACCACTACTAACTACTATGTTTCGATTTACTAATGTATTATCATAAAAAAATAATAATAGTGATGTTACACTAGTTGATCTTCCTATTCTACTTGAAAACGGAATACATAAGAGAATCGTTACTCATTAATCCACCAACTAGTACTGCTTTAAGATGAAGATCGTTCTGTTATTTTTGTTTCATGCAACTTGTTTGTTTGATAAACTCCTTCTTAAGGTATTCTATTTAATAGAAGAAATTGGTCTGAAATATGAAGCACAAGAGAACATAGACCAAAATGATGAGCCAAAACTATTAATTTCATCATGGGGCTAACCGAAGCCATGATATTTGGGTTTGAGCCATTGGTGTATGCAAGTCTGGATTCATTGATAACAAACAAAAATCATTCAAGGAAACTTGTCCACAGTAAAACGTTGAACTCGTCTGCAATTAGGGGTGGTAATGGGGCGGATTTAAGGTTGTGCTGGGTTTAAACTTTTTTTTGAAACTTTTACATGTTATAAGAGTGATTGAGCATTATTAGTTAAGATAATTTCTTTAAAGCTACTACTAAAATATTCAAGATAATAAACGAAAGTGGTTCAATAAAAAATAATATAATTTCTTTCCTAATTGACCTCTAAAATAAATTAATTTTGAAGTCACTATCCTATTAATACAACTTATGAAAACATAAATTTATTTTTATTAGTTTTATTTTTAGCATCAAACTTAACTAGAAATTTTTTTAAAAAAAAATTATGCTGAGTTGGTTTTTGTGGGGTGGTTTGAAAATGAAAAAGTTATTATGCAAGCCGAGCAATTTTTTGGGAGTTCAACCCGCCCCGCTCTCGTTTCACACTGCGCCATTGCCTTCAGCAATATTATCTTTCTGCTTGGAAATTGAGTAAGGAAATATAGAAGAAAATGTGAGGAAATAGATTCTCCTTTCTGATTTGGATTAGTATGAAAAATAATAGGATGTTCAACATTAGGTCATTTCGTTACAAATGGAATACGGACAGCAACAAATCTCTTCCTATATTTCTACAAAAATGTGAATCAGTATTCATTCGATATTTTTGTTTTAAAATCAAAATGAAAATTAACACCAAAATAAATGGTGATAGGTTATACGATGCTAGAAAATAAAAAAAGACGGCAATGGCAATTAGCCAATTACAAATCAAAACTATGGGCGATTTTAAATCATTATATTTTATATAAATATAGTTAGGTGATAAGGAGGAGGTCGTTGTATTGTAGTTTATGCCAACAAAATAAAATACACACAACGACTTCTTGTGAGACCACCTTTTAAATTAGTAATGGATCTTTATTATTACTTTATTTATATATCCTTATTATCATATTTAATACTTTCTTATAAATATTAATCCTACGTTTCAGTTGTTATAATATCATCCATCACTGGTCTTATTATCAATATTGATATTCCTATTGAAAATGGAATGCGTATAAAATTGACAATCTGAGGAAAAATATTGTCAACATTGAGGATTGTTTTATTTATTTTCATTTGCAAACACTTGGATATTATGAGATTAAAATTAGTGATAAGTACTAAGTAATTATGTACCAAAATAACTTGTGAATAAATTATCATATGATAGAACCGTCACTAATATATAGAATTGTTTGAATTTTTATGTTACTATCGACATTCTTTATAATGGTGTTGTTAGTAAAAGCTATTTTAAATTCCTTGCACATTGAAGAGTGAACATGATTTAATCAACCCTTTATAACATATATACTAGTTGTCTTTTATTTGGTTCTGAAACGTCCTTCCATTTTTTGACATAATTATTGAAGATAGTGATCTTTTTCCCTTTTTGGAGATTTTATCTACCAATCAATATCATTAATAAATACAATATTAACAAGCAACCATAATTATACAAATGATATTACCTCTTTGTCAACTAATATTGTAGGCCGAAACACCTTTGTGTCTTAAATTTTATATTATACTACTAAAAAAATGCATCGTAAATCCTAGATCATTGGCGATGACTTTTGGGTGACCACCAATACCCCCAACTAGGGGTGTACGAAATCGAATCGAAAATCGAATCAAATCGCAAATCGAATCAAATCGGAAAAAAACTCGACTAATGGTTTGGTTTGACTTGATTTGGTATTGGAAAAAAAACTCGACCATACTTGGGTTGGTTTGGTTTTAACTAAAAAAAGTCAACCCGAGACCAAACCAACCCGACATTATATATATGATTTTAAAATTTATTTTATACATAAAAGTATTTACTTTGACGTAATTTCTAAATATTACTTGTACGTTTTCATAATTTTAATCTTTTAACATATTTTTTCAAGTTTTTTTAAACTTATAATTTTAAATGGTCCAATAAATGTTATAGTCCATAGATATTATTAACTCTAATAAAACTCAATTCAAAATCGAATCAATACTAATGCTAACAAAATAAATTAATTCAACACTAAGAATGACAATAATGTTGAATATTTGTTCTTTAGTTTTACATTGATTTAGACATTTAAAATACATAATCTAATTTTAATTTTTCTTTAATATTTTATCATGTAATTAATACTTATTAGACTTATTTTAGCATGATTTATCTAGTACTTTTAAATTATGATATTTTTCATTATGACTTATCAATTTGCAATATTTATTTTATGCAATTTCATTATTATATTTTATTGAATATTTTAGTGTCATCACTCCTCATATTTTGTGTTGATTTCTTAAGAAACACCTTAGATAGTTATATTTTGGTTGGACTAAAGAAATTTTTGAAACACAAGTTAATTATATGTTTGTATGAATATTTTACCGAAAAAACCCAAAAACCCAAAAACCCAAAAAAATCTGAGGTTTATTAGTTTGGTTTGATTTAAAAATTTAAATATGTGACACAAATAGTTTGGTTT